TCGTGTGGAAGCGTCACGTGGTGCTGCTTGGCGCGCGTGTTGAACAGAGGTTTAAAGCCTTGGAGGTAACATTACCAAAGAAAATAGATCGGCTAAGTTCGCCTCCTTTGGGGAGGTGAACTTGGTAGGACACTTAAGAAAAAGACGAAACTTTTAGACGAAACAAAAGAGCAAAAAGGGATTTCCCAAGGGGAAATCGAGTCAACGACTACATTGTTCAGCAGACGAGGAGACCAGCGGAGTAAGAGAGAGCTTTAGCCTGCGGTTTGTCCTTTTGAAGACCTGACGTTTCCGCCTTCTTTTGGAAGAGGGTCCAATCAGGAACTGTCCCTTTGGAGGGAGGTTTTTATGACCCTTTGTGTTATAACCAGGCATTTAAATCACTAGTTTCATTGGGTGTTTAAGAGAAGAATCTTCACAATTTTTATAATACTAATGTGTCACAAAGTTTAGCAAAATGTAATGTCAATTAACAAATGGGGAACGAAGATTGGAGTTTATCGAGACCAAACTTGCCACAAATGGATTTGGTTAAACATTAGTTGGCAAAGTTTGAAACATTATCCCATTAGAGTTGTCGAGAAACATAGACCAAACCACAGAAAGGCAACTCATGAAATAGGGAACTTAGATACATCGTTCATACAATTCTAAAGTGGATATATAATAGCATATATATATGAATACAGGATTCATTTCTCCTCCTTGGTTAGAATTCAGAGAGAGCCACAGTTCTGTGAACATTCCTTTGGGTCGTAAACGCTGTTAACTAAGAACACCAGTGATGATAGTTTTGGTCTCTTTTCACTCCAAAGATGGAAAACATAGTAAACTATATTTTACTGGATATTACTGTACGTATTTTGATTGATCACACCGAAAGCATTCGGGAGGTGTCCAGAACTATGTGTATAAGTTATGGAAATAGACAGTTATATTTAAAATGCATAATGAAGGTATTTATAATTCACTTTAAGCTACGATAGAATCACAGTCATTCCAATGTGACATAGGCAACTGGACACACATAAAAACACATCAAATATATCTGGTTAAATGTCTTTTAAAAAGAGAAGTTTCTTTCTCTTTAGAATCACCTTCTTTGGGACATTCCAGTCCGTCATAAAAATGTCTCGTAACTGGACACCACGCTCTGTCCTGAGTGTGGTCTTCACTTGTGGGGGATGCGTGTGTGTGTGTGTGTGTGTAAATTTACATTCCAGGCTTTTTGGGTCTTTAGCAGGATGTATTTAGTTATTCAGATTCACCCTTTTAGCCCAGTCCTTACAGCTTCTACTACTGCAACACCCAGAAGATGGCGCGAGTTTCGAACCCCCTTTATCCGGAAGCGACACTCAGACCGAACCGATGACGTTTTCACACAAACCGAGGCCTCGTTTGTCATTAGTCACGTGATTTTCACGTTAACAACACAAGCCTCGAATCGCGGCTTCATCTGGCACGCCCATTTTTTCTCGACACAAGCTCCGACGTCTCGGTTCAAATGTCACATCACTAGTTGTAAGTAAAGTTTATTGAATTTGGAAATTCGACTTCTCATCTTCCTCTGCATACACCACCCGTGACAGAAGAACCGACCACATCATGAGCTGGGAGCTCGCTGGACAGATCGCGGCTTTGGCTCTGGATAGCCGCGATCTGTTCCTCTACACATGGAAATTTTTCCCTCTCGCTGCTTCCTGCACTCTGAGTGATGAGACGATAAAGGCGTGTTATCGGCTGGGGTCTAAAACAGTTGATCCGAGGGAGCTCCCAGACCTCTCCGGTCTGGACTGGAGAGAGGCACTCTCCAGATGTCTGGAGAGCTTCCTCCCGTGGCATGCCATAACACCTGATCTGCACATCGTCTCTCCTGAAATCACTCCCGATCCCTCTTCTCCGCTGGTCCCGTCCAGCACAGAGCCTTCACCGCTGGTCCCGTCCAGCTCTGCCGAGCCTTCTCTGCTGGTCCCGTCCAGCCCTGCCGGGCCTTCTCCGCTGGTCCCGTCCAGCCCTGCCGAGCCTTCTCCGCTGGTCCCGTTCAGCCCTGCCGAGCCTTCTCCGCTGGTCCCGTCCAGCCCTGCCGGGCCTTCACCGCTGGTCCCGTCCAGCCCTGCCGAGCCTTCTCCGCTGGTCCCGTCCAGCTCTGCCGAGCCTTCTCCGCTGGTCCCGTCCAGCCCTGCCGGGCCTTCTCCGCTGGTCCCGTTCAGCCCTGCCGAGCCTTCTCCGCTGGTCCCGTACAGCCCTGCCGGGCCTTCACCGCTGGTCCCGTCCAGCCCTGCCGAGCCTTCTCCGCTGGTCCCGTCCAGCTCTGCCGAGCCTTCTCCGCTGGTCCCGTCCAGCCCTGCCGGGCCTTCTCCGCTGGTCCCGTCCAGCCCTGCCGAGCCTTCTCCGCTGGTCCCGTCCAGCCCTGCCGAGCCTTCTCCGCTGGTCCCGTCCAGCCCTGCCGAGCCTTCTCCGCTGGTCCCGTCCAGCCCTGCCGAGCCTTCTCTGCTGGTCCAGCCCTGCCGAGCCTTCTCCGCTGGTCCCGTCCAGCACAGAGACTTCACCGCTGGTCCCGTCCAGCCCTGCCGAGCCTTCTTCGCTGGTTCCGTCCAGCACAGAGACTTCACCGCTGGTCCCGTTCAGCCACGCCGAGCCTTCTCCGCTGGTCCAGCCCTGCCGAGCCTTCTCCGCTAGTCCCGTCCAGCACAGAGACTTCACCGCTGGTCCCGTCCAGCCCTGCCGAGCCTTCTCCGCTGGTCCCGTCCAGCGCAGAGACTTCACCGCTGGTCCCGTCCAGCCCTCCCGAGCCTTCTCCGCTGGTCCCGTCCAGCGCAGAGACTTCACCGCTGGTCCCGTCCAGCCCTGCCGAGCCTTCTCCGCTGGTCCCGTCCAGCACATAGACTTCACCGCTGGTCCCGTCCAGCCCTGCCGAGCCTTCTCCGCTGGTTCCGTCCAGCACAGAGACTTCACCGCTGGTCCCGTTCAGCCACGCCGAGCCTGCGCTTCACGTCAGCCACACAGAGCCTGCCGAGCCAGAGCTTCACGTCACGCCTGCCGAGCCAGAGCTTGTTCACGTCCCGTCTGCCGAGCCAGAGACTGTTCACGTCCCGTCTGCCCAGCCAGAGACTGTTCACGTCCCGTCTGCCGAGCCAGAGACTGTTCACGTCCCGTCTGCCCAGCCAGAGACTGTTCACGTCCCGTCTGCCCAGCCAGTTCCAAAGCCTGTCCCAGAGGCCTGTTTTGACTCTGTCATTCCCCCCAAGAATTTTTTTTGGGGGGGGCTATAGGTCCTGGCCGTGGCTGCTTGAAGGGCTGTTTCCGCCACGGCCGCCCGAAGGGGCGTCTCCACCAGGGCCGCCTGCTCATCCTGCTCCGCCCTGGAAGCTTCCTGCTCCTGTGAGGCCTGGCCCTGATCAGCCTTCAGGGCGCAAGCTAAAAACAGGCAACAAAAAGTTTCATCTTCATAAAGACAGAACCATTCAGTGAAATCCTGATTTAAGAATATTCTCCTCTGATATAAAGTTCCTTTTTTCTTCTTTTAAGAAAATGTCAAAACCTTTAAACTCAAAGGTTTCTAAAACAAATAATATCCTTGAGTCTGTAGTAAAGAACCTTTAATTTTTTGTATTTACAAAATGTAATATTGTATTGATTTGTGTAGCCTAATTCAATCTCTTTTTATGTCCCCCTTTTTTTTTTCTCTTCTCACTGTTAATGTCTGTATCCTTTTATTTGCAATACAAAATTAATTAATTTAAAAAAATATTATTTAACATACCTCGATTCGTGTCGCTGTACAGCCTCCCCCTACTGGACGCATCAGGAACAACAGGGGCTTAAAACTGCCAGGCGCGTATATCTACTGGCTCCAGGTCTGCAGCCTCCCCCTACTCAGATTTTCTGTCAATATTTAGGACACAAATTTCAGTCTGTTCGGCGCACAAAGATTTTATATTACTTTGAATATTTTACAAGAGTCATATATGGACTTGAATAGTGTTTTTCGTCATTATGGAGCGGAGCTCAATAATGTCAGGGTAGTATTTGAAACACATTTCATTCAACTCAAGGTATACATTTTACCAGTTTGTGAATTTCCCTAAAAGTCAAAACCAGATCCTTGGCATTGCTTTGAGCGAAAGCTATTTTCATTTTTGGATGAACTGTTCCTTGAAAAATATTTGTTTATTCCCCCCCCAATATAAACAGTTAAAAACCTTTAATAATTACAATTACAATGTCCATTTTGAGTGTGTGGCCAAGTCAAAGACAGAACATGAATACTGATTCCGGTGTGTACATGTTTTTATTTGTGAATGATAACACCTTTGGCAAAACGCAAGACAGGCATAATTTGTGTCCTGTATGTAGTCTTAGAAACAAGAATCACAAGAAGGCTTAAAGATCAATTGGTTTGTGTTCTTCATATTTCATTTAGTTTCCATTAAATTATAAATGACAGAGCTGATTGCAAGATAATGTGAAGCATCTCTACGGACATGCTTGGAATGGATTTAACTGATTCAAATGTCCTGTCACTTCGGCGTTCCTTAATATCTTAATTTTACAGCAGATTTTCTCCGAATCAAAAACATCATGGTGATTGGTGATCGGAAGAGTGAAAGCAAAGATTAGTGAGTTATAAATGTGAGCACAACTGCATTGGCACCTCAGAACCGGAATGAAAGATATTAAGGTTCGTCCTACAATGTCCTCGGATTGCATGAGCTACATGCCAAGGATGCCATAACGTAACTGGAGGGCAACAGTACAGCATACCAGTTTGAATTTTGTTAGTTAGGATCCCTGACATCTTCTAAGGTAAGTGCAATCACAGTGTCCTAGAGGTCAAATGGAACGGTACAACTTTTTCCTCAGTCTTCGGAGTCTCAAATGCTCTCCCAAGTGTGACTTTGTAATATCTCTGGGCCCTGAACCAGTGCATATGCAACACCCACCCTCTCCACTGAATACATACATTTACATGTGCTCACACACACACTCAAGACAAAATCCACATTGCAATCCCTTTAGTAACCTTTCATACACAATTCATGGGTTGGTTAGGTGACCGAGTGTGCATGTGTACACTAGGGGCTTACATCAGACAGACAAACTCTACATAAGGCTTCAGAAGTATACTCGTAAATTTTGTGCACCACAAATTTTCACAGAAGTCTGCAACATTCACGTGTTGAGGAGTAAACCAGGTATGCATTTAAACTTGGCTACTGTGTTAAGTGACCAGCAGCATATCATACAGCATTCATCCAAGTGGTCAGACAGTTTGGCCTGACGGGGTGAGAGGTTTCTTGATGTGCTTTTGTTTTTTCCTCAGTGACTTGCACTTTGTTACTTGTTCTCCGGAGGAACAGTTTGTTAATGCCTTTTAGTCACAAAAAAAGTGTTCCACCTTCTTTTGTGCCTCTTCCCTTCCATCCATCTGTAGCTTAGCTTTGCAAGCTTACCCATGTTACATTTCTGCCCCACCCACTGCAGCAAGTTTATTTTAATGACTTTCAAACTCTTTTGCTTCTGCTTATAAAGCTTTTGGGAGCAGTAATGGTCAGCATACTCAGAATGCAGCCCATCTTGACTTGTTGTCTCTTCTCTTATTACCTTTTCCATCATCTCCACACTTTTTATCATTGTCTTTATTGCCATCTATCTACACAGTGCTCCTGGGGGTTCCGTTTAAGGCAACAGTCTTCATGAGAGGGGTGCCAGTTGGCTGGCTGCTTGTCCTTGAAGTGGAAACACCCACTTCGAACACTTCATGAATGGCTTTCCGGAAACAGTGGAAATTGTAGTCTATCAATCCTGTGGCACAAAAAGGAGAATTAAAAAGAACCGAAGACCTGCCGCTAGAATAAAAGACACCAATAAAACAGAATTGCTGTGGTGTACCTTTACGCTCAAAGCTCTCTTCTCTCAGGATGCAGACCAGAGCGAGGAACCTGGTGACCTCTTTCAGGTACAGCACTGTGGTGTTGTTGAGTTTGATGATGGCCATAGACTCCTTATCATATGCACTGCCACTGCCATCCTCCTTTAATCTACACAATCAAAACATGCACTCACTACGCAGAACTGATAAAAAAGCACGCTAAAAATAATGTTAAGAAAATGTGAGCTCCTCTTCTTCAGAGAAAAAAGTACATACGGTATATCATTTTTACTGAATGCTAAAACCATGGCCATATTTTAACAGTATGTAGAAATGTATATGTTGAAAGGTTACGTAAAATTATTTGATAGATAGATAGATAGATAGATAGATAGATAGATAGATAGATAGATAGATAGATAGATAGATAGATAGATAGATAGATAGATAGATAGATAGATAGATAGATAGATAGATAGATAGATAGATAGATAGATAGATAGATAGATAGATAGATAGATAGATAGTCTTATATGCAAATAGAAATCATATACAAAGTCTGACCCGTAAATACAGGAGACGTCAATGACCACATCAATCATGTCACAGCAGAGCTCGTAGGACTGCATGTCCACTGGTGAACTGTCAGTGGCGATGTAAATCTTACTGACGACGTCAAACAGAAAGGCCTTCTCAATCCCTGAATTCTATTAGCAGAAAAACACACACACATTGCATAATGCCCTGCAGGGTTTGATATGGGATCTTACAGCATTGAGAGCATAATAAAACATGCATGAGCATGACTGCATTGGAGATGGAGAGCTATTTCCACTGCAACAACACTATATATTCTTCATAACGACAATAATGTAGTGACCAAAGAGGGAATGGAAATTCATTAAGGTGCAACCATCAAGAAACATTAGGGTCTTGAGGTAGAGACACTTACAGATATAAAGATGTTGAGAAGGTTCTCCAGTGTGGGAAGCTGAGGGATGAGCTTCTGGACAACTTTACTGAAGGCCTCGAAGATGGAGTGATCATATATACTGGTCAAATAGAAACTGCAGAGGACAGAAAAAAAAATCCTTAGACAGAATGAAATACAAAACATCCGACAGATTTAATACAGCTAACATACCTAGTTCTCATTTCACCAATTATTAACACAGTGATCCAAATGCAATGTAATGCTTTTCCTAGGTTTTCCTAGTCACTTAACCGCATTTACACAGTGAACCAATTAAGATTTTATTTGTATTCATTATCTGGCACAGATAAGATCTAGTTGCAAATGTTTAAACGGCACAACTATTCAAACTAAATTGCAGGGTAGTTAAATAAACGTTTCTCATAACATTCACTCCTGACAACTGCAATCTCACATGCATATGTGTGCGTGGTGTTGATCCACTACACGGTTAAAATGGCCATCTTAGTGGGGTATTTATGTAGAAACAGTTACATGACTATATTTTGGGGAGACAAAATTTTGCAATGTTTTTGCAGACAGCATCTGTTGCCAAATGAACAGAAATGTTACCGAGACAAAAGACAGCAGAATCTGCCAGAACAGAAGTAGCTTAAAGGCTCTGCAGTGTTGGACAGCAGCCTCAGACTTAATAAAATATCCTCTCATATCAAACTAGTCTGATGTGCAAAGTTCTCTTCTGAAAATATAATGAGCCACGCAATTACTTGTAAAAATGAGCAACACAATTACTTGTAAAAAAAAAAAATTGGTAGCAGTTGCCAATTATTACAATATAATATAGTTTGTACACTATGATAGGTGACAAAACTGAGAAATAGTGTATGTCTAAAATAAATAATAACCACATTCATTTGCTAAGTGAATGGTAAGGTGCTTGAGCGGTCAGTGCTTTGTGAACAACAGCAGGCAAGGGTGAATTGCAAGCATACTTCTAGCAGAACATTCTAGAAGTATGCTTGCAATTCACCCTTGCCCTGTTGTTTACGTAGCACTGACCACTCAAGCCCCTTAAACTGTATGCTTGCTGTACCGAACAGAGCTGAAGGAAAACAAGCTTCTTGCTTTCCTAGTATGGCTTTAGCATGTAAATGCATTTGTGTAAGTGCTTATTCCTTGACAGATACTAAAATCCAGTCATCCACATGGCCTTATTGGTTCCCAAAAACTACAGTAACCTAAACAGCAACCAAAAATTACCAGAATTCTTTCTTTTTTTTTACTGAGGTGATCAGAGCATCTGAAGATGCCATTTTTAGATTGATACAAACAAATGATACAAATGTGAATGCAAATATTTTCAGATAACACATCATTAAGCAGACACTCTTTATCTAGATCAGAGAGTTGAGAGCTGTGTATTCATCTTCACTTTCAGTAAAGAGTACCAGGAGATTCTATAGCATTAGTGAAGACATCAGAAAGAAAACATGTAATCGGATCGCCATAAGTGGCACTCTATTTAAATTTTGATGACAAAATTTATTTAGCAAATGCCTGTAGTGACTGAGATTTAACACAGAGCTCATGAAACATCACCATTTCCTTGGAGAACCACTTTTCAACATCAGTCCATTACATCCATTATTAAGTCAACACCAGAATGGCTCTGACTTAACGGTTTCTCTGATTTAGCAACGTAAAATAAACAAAACAAAACACAAAATCAAACAAACGTCCTTCCCACATATTTACACATTAATTAGGTGTTCTGCAAATGAAAACATTAAGCATATCACATTAAAAAATAATAATAAAATTACAACATTCTCATTTTCGTAATATTCTCATTTTCCTTTATATCTCAGCAGCTCTGCAGCAGCTGAGCACTAAGGAGCGAATGTACGGTACAGTGACGTGACATAACTGCCAGATTCAAACTGCTTTCGCGCGCTGGCGCTGAGCCAAAGACGGACGCGCTCAGCGCTTGTCATAGGCTATATCACAACTGTTCAGTGTTTTTAACCACATAATGTTTATTTTAGGTTTCAGACATTTAAATACATATAATTTATAGCAAAACAATACATTTATAGTTTGTAAAATACACAATGGTGTCTATGGAAGCAGCAATAACAATCCATTTAAATTATATTTGACGACGGTTTTTATTCATATCAGAGACAGTGTAAACAACTATAAAGTCAACTCTTTTTTCAGTTCACCGGCCACTTACTTTCATGTATTTCGGGAGAAACTGATGAATTCACGCGCTGTAATAACTTAAATCCAACAGACAGGAATCTCGAACTGCGGCCCAAACACGGCGCCCATCTCACGTTACAGATCAAGATAACTTATAAAGGTTTTTTAAACTACAAAACAAACTCACTGACACATATTTGAGAATCGGAATAGAAGATAGTTTATGACATGGTAATATTTAGAAATAAGAGCGCTAAATCTGTCATACAGCGCTATTTTGGCTGTGGTGAATCACGTGCCAAGCATGACGCGTCACCATGGAAACATCGCAATGTCGGCTAAACATCGTGATGTCTGTCAGCCATCACGATATCATCCATCGGCCCAACCCTAGGGCAGAGCTTACCTAACATCCAAAACAATGCTGTGTGTTGAGTTAAATGCACTCGTTGTATGTGTGTAGCCTAGATATGGTGTTATTTTGACCAGCTGAGAACTTGTGATCGTGAAGAGCTTATAAAATGTGTAAAGGAGTCAAAACAGCGGCAGGAATCCCTCCGTCACACACACAAACGGAAGATCTGTGAGGAGACGTGATTCTAATGCTTGTACCAAACTGTGATGGGCAATATCGAGACTATGAAGAGAAAAAACAGGTATGCTTGAGCATTCTCTCCTTTTTAGAGTCGCATCATGTCCCGTTTTTGGTTCATTTACATGCCTTTGGTCTGTGTTGCGTTCATTTGGAAGTGGTCTCAGTCTGCTTGTTTGGTGCACACCAGGGTTCGGATGGAAGCGTTCACACTTATTCAAATGAACCGCACTAACAGAGAAATCGCACCAGGGTTCGTTTTAATCGATTCAAACATGCCAAATGTAAACACACCCTTAATAAAAAAACAGCACCAGAAATAAAATGCAAATGATTACCTGAGATGAAGTTTCTCTAAACTGGCATCTGCCAGGTCATCATTAGCCCTCTGGTGTATATCCCTCTGGGTCTCAATCTTATGGTCATCAGACAGGCCGTCTACTTTATGGATGAACACTTCAAAGTTGATCTCTGGGTTGACTCTGTAGGCCCGTGATACTGTTAGGTGGAGTCGACCAAGGGCCTCCATGTAGTCATCCTTTGAGAGGAAAAATGCAAAATAGTATGAGTTGGCAATGTACAATGTAGAGGCTGACTAGGTTTAGAGAAAAAGCTATACTTGAGGCTACCAAACAAATTGAAAATTACATTTGACATATTTACCAAATAAAAGAATGCAGAAATACAAAAGAAATATGCAAAAAATATATCAGTCTCCTTTAAAAAGCAGATGAAAAGAATGTTCTTGACACAACAACACATTTTGTTATGGGGTTTGCTAATCTGCAATCTAATCAATCATATCCTTTAAAAACAACTTTCAGCTAGAAGAAACACTGAAGTGCTGAGATAAGATACGGACTTCTCTGTATCAGCAGAAACACAAAGTCAATCTTGTGCCTTTTTTTTTTTTTTACCTTAAGCCAATGCGATACAATGAGCCAAGCCTAAATGACAAACAACATTCAATTAAATGAAACCAGAATGTCTGGACTCAAACCCAAGATTTATAATCTAACCATTTACAACCATTAACCCATTTCAACTGCAGTTTAACACAATATTTACAATAGCTTCTCGATTGGTTACATGGGAAAGGGGATTCTACAGGGGGGAAAAAGTCAAACTTCCTGTGGCAATGACAACTTTATTGATTAATTTGTATTAAAATTACTTTATTTTAGAAATGTAAACAAACTTGGATACCGAGAAGATGCATTTTATCAGGGTAGAAATAAAAGAATAATAAAAAATAAAAAAAGTAAAACCTAGAGCTGCACGATTCTGGATAAATTGAGAATCATGATTTTTTTTTTTTTTTCAAACAGAAATCACGATTCTGAACAAACAACTAAAAAAATAACTTTTTAAAGAAATTTAAAAAAATTACTAGAGGTTCTGTCCAATGTTACAATAATTGCTGCAGTCTATTTAAAATGTTTAATTAATCTGAATGAATTATATAAAAAGAAAACTGTTTAAATGAATGATTCAATGACTCACTCATAAATACCTCTTTCATTACTGGATGAGCGTTTTTTTTTTACAAATCTCTTTTTACAAATCTCTTAAATGAATGATTCAATGACAAATACATTTTTTAACAGTCACTTGTCACAATGTAATCGATACAATCGCCTTTTTAAGCGCCAAGTTACAATTAAAAGGTGATTTTGATCACTCTACCGTAGACAGTGTTCATATCCATAAACTTTTATTACAGTTCTTCAGTAATAATATGAATATCTGTAACAGAAATAACAATACTGTGTGTTTGACTATTTTTGAAAAGACTGTTTGTGAAGCTGTTTAATACCTATACATTACAACCGCTCTCTCTGGGTCAGCGGCAGCGCCGTCGCAGATTTGAATGTTCTGGTGTGATTTTGTCAAAGGTTTATTAGACACAGGCAAATTGTTGTCATTTAGGAATGAGACCATGTGAGTGTTTGAATCGAGATTGTGATATTTTAACGATTAATTGTGCAGCTCTACTAGATATTACACCAAAGAAAATGATATAGCTGGTCAGTATTTGTAATTACAATGTTTCACAAAAGAATCCAGTCATCTTGAATTACTGACAGAAATGCATCACTATGTTGTATGGGTGTGTATAGTAATTAGAGTCAAGGCTTTGAATTTTCAGTTTCACCTGTGCATCGATGACAAATATCAAGGCCCCAGTTCCTCTGAAAATCATCTCGTAGTCAAAGGTAGGATCAAAAAAATCCACTTGTCCAGGGAAGTCCCAGATCTGGAAGTTGACAAAGGAACTGCTGGAGATGTCATCTTTATATATCTTGTTGGTGCTCTCCAAAAAGAGGGTCTCGTTGGGGGACATCTTATGAAACACCACCTGATAAGTCAAAGACATTTAATACATTAAAAGCATTCTCAAAGTGCTCTGTCTCCTCACCACAGTCAAGCAGTTGTGAAATCAAACTAAAAGCCCAGTCACATGCTTCATGAGGAGCTTACTGATGGCAAGGCTTATGTATCAGAGGTCTCAGATTCAAATTCTTATATCGTAAAGCCAAGGGAATCATGGGTACTTAAAGGTTGCACTCTTTTAGCAAAAAGTTTACACATTTTCTATTTATTTTAGAAGCCACTTTATCATTAGTACAAATCGTTTTGGACATTATACTGACACCCATTGTGCGAAATGATGAGAAAAAGAAGTCGAAACAAAATATATAATTTATGAAAGGGTTTTCTATTTAGTAGCCTAGTTTAAATTCTTATTTCATCTGTCGCTCGCAAAATAGACACTAAAAAACAAAAGTCATATTCGCCACAAAGTAAACATAACAGCAATATGCTGCTCACACACTTTCCATTTAGAATCAAGTGGTGCTTAAATGAAGTTCTGCTGTTATGAATCAGATTTCATTTCAAATACCCTGAAAGTCATTGTATGTTTTGCTCGCTGCTGACTGGCATGGATGCATGATGCTGCTGCTTCACAACTGGGTTTTTTTTCTCTCCAGGAGTGCTTATAAGTTGTGACTGTCATGTGTTCACGTTCAGTGTTTGACGATGCAGCATTTATCCTGAATTGGTGGTGTGGAAGTTGTAGGTAGTCGTGACTTGTTTCAACAAACCAAATGGAACAGCTTGTTTATAAATAGTTTGTTGTTTTACTGTTTGGTACATTTAGAATTGTTTTTAAAGCTGAAAATGCTATATAAGATGAACATAATATTACAATTGTGTTATCAGTAGTATATCCCAATCAATTGCATGAAACAGCTGGTCATGTGACGTCACCATGGAAGCGCCCACGCAAGGGTGCCCGCTCCATGTACAATACAACTTACCAATTAATAGCCTTAATGCGCAAAAATTGCAAAAGGAAGAAAAGAAAATTCATGGACAAGAATGAGCTAACTGTAACCCATTTCTGTTCGTATGATCTACAATACATCATAGGTGTTGAGAGGTTGTGGGGGATGCTGAATGTATGAATAAGCATTTCAGGTTTTGATATGAAGAAATCACGTGCCACATCAATGCCGGGTGAGTTATCACAACATGAACATAGGACATCTATATATGCTACATATTCTTAGCCAGCTGTCTGAATGTGCTGTAACTATTAGGCCTGTGTGGCAACCAAGTCCGTAAATCCACCGCTGCTTAAGAAATAGGTTGGTTGCAACGGCTCCGAGCGGTGATCTTGCCCGTGCCCTGTGACAGCTCGGCTGCCCGGGGCAGCTCTGACACGGTCCTAACCCAGTTCTAACCCAGTTCTAACTCGGTTCTAACTGGCTTGGCTAAGAAGTCAGCAGGGGAAAAGAACGTAAGTTACACTGTCTAAATAAAATGTCTTCCTCCTACCTTTTGGATAGATGACTTTCCGCTCCTCCTTAATCCCATCAGCAAGATTCTCGGTTTGCTGTCGGAGGGACTAGGACTGTCCTCAATGTCTCCCTCCTCTTCTCCATATCCAAAATCTTTGGGAAACGAGTCCGCCACCCCGTAGCTGTCCGCCAGCGGTGCCTCGTACTGGATCGACATGTTGACCCCCCTCCCCAACCCCTTTAAAATATAACCTGGCTGATTATTAGTAATATAATCAGCACAAAATAAATGCTGAGAGGACAAACATAAAACCTCGTTATACTAGAAATGGATGAGAGCAAACTTATTATGGATTCTCCTTTAAATCTTCAGTCTCTTATGTTTCCCATCTCGATGAAACGCCCACTTAAGATCGACACTCGCGTGTAATTGGGCAGCCACCCGGTAGCTCGTATGCTGATTGGACAAATAAAGTGTCACTCTACTAAGCTATTGAAATGCGGGCGGATCGTTCCAAGTCATGTGCCTGGTGGTCACCTGACAAACGGAATCGTGTGAATGGTTGTTTTTTTTACGATCTTTCACCTGAAATGCTGTTTTGTCTTCAAATGCTGATAAAGAATAGTTGGTAAATGTTAAATGTTATTTATCCCTTTCAATTTTCCCTGTGGGAAAGTTACATTAGGCCTACTCCCCGCCCCGGATATTAAACAAACTGTATGCCTTTTTAAAACAAGAATGAATCAGCTTTGTTTTGCTAAAGTGACTGCACTGACATAATATTAACACGTCGGCCATGATCATGATTGATGTGTGAGAGCAATTTTATAAATACCTTATAGCTTTCAACATTATGCATGCCAAATATGGTAGTTTTAAAAATGTTAATATTAAAATAAAACTGACATTTACTTTTAGACCTTCCAAAACTTTATTAAAGTTGTGTGTTGTGTTATTAAAGCAGGTGTTGTTTATTATAATGAAGCTATGCCAGACATAAATCGTGCATCTCTGTTTTATGTGAACCAAAGACTTTTACAACACTGCTGACCAATGTGTCACATGGTTGCAAAGCCAAAGTTGTTATTGTTCAGTTTTACTAATGTAGGCTATATGTAGCCTATATGCACAACCTGTGCCGTTGCACAACTACACTGAGTTTTCTGTCATGATTGCAAAACTGCTGCAGTTTAGTTTTCACAATTTTAGCACCACAGATACATTGAATTCATAAAACATTCATTTAAAAGATCAATTTAATGATCACTGGAATGTTGGGACAACTGATTTTTTTTTGTGGTTAGGACACAACCAAATAAGAAATAGAAAGCAAGGATGGGATCTTATCTTATTTAAGATTTCTTGCTAGTAAAGTTTGCCATTCGAGAGTTAGGAATGTAGAACTGTCTTACAAAACAGCTTAATTTGAGCAACTGTTTTGTAGTTTGAATGACACATGGATTGTGTTTTGTTATTCACTTATGCTTTCTTTTTCTAAAACAGCATATAATCCAGTTCCTAATACTCAAATTAAGCAGCATTTTAGCTGCTAATATCTCAAGTCAAAGTATAATTATTTTTGTGTGAGGACTCAAAATCAATATGCTTTAGTCCAGTAGATGGTGTTGTGAGCACGTATTAGCTGTATTATTAATACACTGTAATGTATTATTAAAATTCAGGGAGAACAAGAAATAATAAAAACAACTTTTAAATGGCTCTGTTCCCTTTTAATGGGAAGTAATGTCGAATTGACGATTATTCTCTTTAGTCAAGAATAATTTCTTCAGAAATAAAGCGAGATATGAATAGATAATAACATTAAAAGCTGACAGTAATGGCAACAGAAAACACAAAAAAGGTATTATTAGGATTTGGTGGTTTTGTAGAAAGTTTATTTTAAAGCCTGTGGGGAAAAGCTGTTGGATATTTTGGTACTTTCAACTTGAACTAGCATTAGTATTAAGTTAAGGTTCTTAGCTTTATCCTGTTGATAAATTAAAGATTAAATAATGCACAGTAGGCTATATATGTACATTTATATGATACAGTTTAGATATAATCTAAAATCTAATCATAGTAGAAATGTTCATGACACTTGCAATGAGTTAGCCTACTTCTTTCTAGCAAAAAATGTATTTGTTCATACCACGGGGCTGTTAAATGCTTGAATCTGATTGGTTTACAAACGGTCTAAAGTGGGCAATTACTTTCAGGGAAACCTGCTCCTAAAGTAGTTCCAGGCAGGTCTTGGCCTATACACGTCCATATCATGTTGTAAAATAATTTCAGTTATTTCAAAGGTCCTTATAGTCTACAACAGAGAAATAACCAAAACCAACACCGACACTGACCAAGCAAATAAATATAGCAAACAATTTAATAAATAACAAAATATTTCAATGTTTTTCTGTTTGTTTGTTTTTTACACAAAATTACGCTACAGAAACCACACGCTCTCTTTCTCCCGCACTCTCTCCCTCCCACTCAAACGCACAGTAGCCTACGGACACACATTCCCACAGAAACGTGTGGTTTGCGCTGCTCTGACGATTTTATCAGTAAAATAGTTTAGCAACTTAAAAGCTATATGACATTTTTCACTAGCGAGGTAATACCGGCACTGTTCTTGAAGCATATTAACTTACAGTTTCGCTATTAGACACTGCTGCTAAACACTGTTGAGAGACGCACACTCCACATACTGAGGTAATTCACATACATTTAATCTCAATCTCTCTCTCTCTCTCCCTCTCTCATTAATAATTAATTTGCTATAAATGGCTCAAGCCTCCATTACTAGCTCTAAAATTATACTTTTGGCTTGGGATGAGATACATTAGAAATTAGTCAGAGTAATGTCTTGAGTGTGCATTATTTTCGAATAATTAAACGTTCCGTCTGCAATTATTCCTTACTTATTCTGCTTTTTTAATCTCTTGAGATTTAGTTGATATCTAATTTAGAAATGCTATTTGTCCATATGCTTAGAAAAGACTGACTTTACAAATACATTTTCAATCTGGCTTGATTGCATTGTAAATCAGATCAGTTTATTTAGCTGTAATATGACATATGCAGATAGAACAGTGTTTTTTACAATATAATTTTTTTTGCAGATTATTACAGCTGTTCTAAATCAGCACTATGTTTTCAAATTGGGAGTCAAAATTACACCATTTTGACTTCTGATGCAGGAAGCACTTAAAAAGAGAAATGTCCAGATGAGAACAAGGCATACATAATCAAACGTACAATCCATTTCCTGTATTGTAGTCATACTATTGTTAATTAAGTGTTCTGTCTGTGTGTACTGCTGAATTGATATGTATAAAAGGAGAGTGTAAACAATCCATAAGGAGTGTTACCACTTTATAAAGTTGAATATAAAATTTCAGTCTGAGATTGCTTCCGTGCTAACGTCAAAGCTGTAGATGTTAACTTTACAGACACTCTGGTCAATTTCTATCAATTTATAACTACAAAAATTATATGGTTACCATCTGTGAGTTTTTCTCATATCTTTAAGTCTGTGGGAGCAGCTCGCCTGCTACTGGAACTGCTGGCCAATGAGGCGCGATGGCTTGGTGACGCTCGTGGACTATGCCGTGACTCAGAACTGGATTCTTCTATTGAATCAGGAGAGGTGGGCCTGCTCCGCTTGGAATCGGACCTGGACAAAGTACGTGCCCGCACAGCGGCGTAGGGACAGCGGGCTTTAGCGCCTTCCAGGGAATCCGAGTCTGAGCCATTGCCTTCTACAACCGTTGAGCAGTTCCATGGTGCGCTGGCCTTCCATGGCTTCTTTCCAACGCCAGATGATGAGTGAGAAGATTCTCTGGGGTGGCTCGATGAGTCTGGAGTCTTGGACTCTTGCCCTTTCTTGTGCGAAAGTGGCGGGTGGACAGAATCTTCCCCCTCTTCTTGCTTCGGCGGCGTGACGGAGTTGCAAGGTGGCGAGCGCGTGTCACTGCTGGTGTTGTTGGAATTGCTGTTGTGCTCTGTGGGACTGTGCTGCGAGTACTTTGGTGCATCAGAACCATTTTTAGCTGGCAAATCACCCTGAACGGGCAAGAAAGCAGAGGATGGGTTAATCAAAGGAGGGTAGACGGTTCCATCGGGTGGTCTCTCGAGCAGAAGGTTGTATCCGCTGGGTGCAGATGCAATGGTGGCCTTGCGGCCAGTTGAGGTGCCGATGCACGTCTGATGGACCACAGAATCTTTCTTCAGCTTGTTGGGATAGTAGCTGTCATCAGGATCGTCCCTCAGCTGTGGGTAGTAGTTCAAAATGACCTTTTTAAGCTTTTTGTAGCCCAGGTGCAGGATCTCCAGGATGTTGAGAAACAATGAGATGGCAGCTATGCATTGCATGAACACCATGAAGACGCTTTTCTCAGTGGGTCGAGATACAAAGCAATCCACCGAATTCGGGCAGGGCTCACGCTCACATTTGTACAGCGGATTTATTCGAAACCCATACAGAACATATTGTCCGGTCATGAAGCCCACCTCTACGGCAGAGCGGGTGACTATGTGAGCCACGTAGGTGCGCAGAAGGGACCCCCTCAACGGAGCTTTGTTCAGCTTCCCTTGGTCGATCTGCCGAAGCTCACGTTCTATTTTGCGTCGAACTTCCGCCAACTCCACATCCACGGCCTCAAGTTCACGTCTCAGTGTCATCTTTTTGCGCTGTCGCTCTTTCTCAAGGGCACGAAGGCGGTAGAGGGCATGGCCCATGTACACCAGTGAAGGTGAAGACACAAAAATGACCTGCAGCACCCAATAGCGGATAAGGGAAATGGGGAATGCTTTGTCATAGCACACGTTGCGGCATCCAGGCTGCTCGGTGTTGCAGATAAAGTCAGCCTGTTCATCATTCCACACATCCTCGGCCGCCACCCCAAGCACCAGCATGCGGAATATGAAGAGGATGGTCAGCCAGATCTTTCCCACCATAGTGGAGTGGATATGCACCTCTTCCAAAATCCCGCCAAGGAAGTTCCAGTCTCCCATTTTCACTCTGGCATTTTTGAGTCTGTTAGGAGAGGAAATAAGAAGCAAGAATCATGAAAATGGATCGTGAGTCGCATTTGAATAATGTAAAACACTGAATTTAAATTTTGTACCAAACTATTATTTGATTATCGCGCATATCAGTTTCATCCTTACTGACATTTTTATTTGAAACGAACAGAGCTAAGCTTTCCCAAACTTAGAACATCTCAGAGTTACCCTGTATATTAAATGCATAAACCATAAATAGGTGGACTTCTTTTTCAAAACTAGGAAGGAATAACATTAAAAAAAAAGAGACAAAAAATGAATGGCAAGATAAAGAAACTGATGCAAGATCATAAAGTCTCCATTGCAAGCATCGAAGCATCTCAGGTATTAGG